TTTTCTACACATGCCATTCATGCAAGTGGACTACGTGAAATGTACTAGGTTGTCCAGAGACGTGAAGGGTGATACCGAAAATGTGCCCTCCTGTGCACGGGTAAGAGGAACAAAGGGGATTCGTGGGTAAGTACTCCTGGAGGTTATTAAAATGTTTCATACATACCATAATCCACCCAATTGCCTGGATAGAATAATCAAACGACACTAAGCTGAGTCGGGGACTCTTTGAAATCACCTTTTCTTTGTAGTCATGTATTCATCTCATTACCCTTTAAAGGTCTACAGTATATTCTATTAAAAATCCCATTAAAACGTATTGTACTTCTTGACTATGAGTTTATAATGATGGCTATAGTCATGGTGGAGGAGTTTCCTTACCAAGTGCAGGTTCCACAGCAATGGGAGAAGATTCCTGAGACTCTTCACTGAGTCCGAAGACATTGACGGCTTGGACTCGGAACACATAGCTCTCCCCTGGAATCAGGCCATGGACCACAAACCTGAGACACACCCATTCAAGATTTATTGAAGAAAAATTATGTACATTTACTTATCATTTATGTGAACATTTCAATAAACTAAAATAGTTTATTTTTTCTGTTAAAGGCAACACCATCTCCAGAGTAAGAAAATTCAAACACAAAAAGCTGGAATCCTTTGGAATACTTTGGCACTTAAATGTACTTCCAATGAAAATTTCAGTATGTAAACTGCTTGTTGTGTAATGCTGCCAACCTGATACAAATGGAAGAGATTTTCTCTCTTGGTGGAATGTTCTTTGCTATTCAAAAAAAGTAAAAGTGGTGTTGTTCTTTTCCCTTTATACCTGCTTCCATTAGGGAACATTATCAAACAGCAGGATATAAATTTCCACTGCTATGATGATGATCCTGGGTTATACCTGTCTGAGAAACCAACTGAAAACAAACAGGTAGACTGAAGTTGTTTCTTTGGACCTGAGCACCACAAGGAGAAATGCACTTGACTTCTAGGCTTCCAGTTCCTCAAAGAGGAGCCAGGTTAGTTATTTCTGACCATAATCTGTCAAACATTTTTCTAGGACTCCATTCTTTCCCATCCTAATAACTCCAAAATTAGAAACATCCTTTCCCAGCAGGATCAGTAAGGAACAAGAAATCATTTGTTCCTTCAGGGCTGATTCTTTTTTATCGATCTGACCCAAAATCTCGGTTAAAGCCTGTTGATGATCCAAAACGCTGGAGCAGAGTCCTGCTTAGTACCAGCAGCAGAAATTAGATTCCTCTAGTTTTAGCTTCCCTTCACTGGCTCTCTGTTAGATTCAGAACAGAACCGAAAGTTCTGATCCTCACATCTAAACTCTGAGTGTGCAGCTCCATCAAAGCTCCCAACCTTGAAGCTCAGGCTTCAAAGTTTCAGATGGCTCAGCATGAGGGATTGCATCAACATATATGGCATTTGCTGTAACCCTAACCCTAACCTAATCCTAACCCTAACCATGTACACCATTATTATTATTTTCTATGACATTTTTTAATGGAAAATGAAAACATCTCCCAGTCTTGCCTGTTGTGTTTGAAGGGTTTGTGATTACAAGGGAACCAGTCCTTGGATCCAACTGCACGGCCATCAATGTAGTATCCCATGAGGTGTTTCAGATGTTTGGGAACTTCCCACTGAACGAACACTGATGACTTGGTGTTCCTGGTAGCCACAACTTGACCAGGAGCAGAGGGAACGCCTGTCCAAGACACAAAGTCAATTAAAATCATATCTTTGATTCTTTATCAATGTATCTTTATTCGTATAAAGTATCATATAGATATTTTATTACAGATCATGTGAAATGGAAGAAAACTGATTTTTACCTTATTACAATGGATCTTATCAAAATAACTGTTCATATGAATATGATATTACCTCAGACTATATTTGGGAATAATCCAAAGGGTCCTTTTGCAAAAAATAAACTGAGAATTTATTTTACAGAAATGGCACAAGTCAGATAAATGCAATGAAAAAAAGTCAGCAGTAGTTCTTCAGTTGATAAAACTGCCTGTTTCCAGCAGGCCGACCACATACCGGTGCGTGGGAAAGGTAGTGACCACTGTAAAACATGCTGCCATGAACAGTGGCTTGTTGTGGCTTTTTTTTTTTTCAGTGCACAGCAAAGCGTGTCCATAAATGAGGTGCACCAGTGCACATTTACCTCTGTGAACCTGCTGGGATACACAGCTGTGGCTTAAGGCGTTAAAGGTCTCAGGAGGAGACCTTCGTTTGTTTCTACCCAAAACAGGAAGTTTGGACTGAATGGGAAAGCACCAGAGCATTATGGTGACCTCATTGGAGTACGGGAAAGAAGATCTTAACAATGTTGTTTCTTTTGTGTTTGCCAAAGTGCAAAAAAACTGGACAGGAAAAGGGTGGGCAAAGCTGCACACCCTAAGGGTGTCCAGAGAAGTTCTTCTTTAGCCCAGTGTTACAGCATCACAAGATCACATTTCTAGTACACGAGAAAGTACTAGAAAACCATTCATTTGATTCTACATGCTGCTAACTCCTTTTGAGATCAGTCAAGTATTGTGAACTCGATCCAGCTCAATCTCCTGTTTCTTGAAGTGAATCTTGTAGCTGAGGCACACACAGGTGAACAGTGAATTCATTTGTGGCATCGCAGCCATGTGAAAGCATGCCGTTATAGAGCATCGAGTTTCCATGAATCTGTACATACCAACTGACCGCTCAATGCCTGGAAGACAAAGCCACTCATGGTGAACAACAGAAGCACTTCATGTCTGAGACACAGTCACATCTTTGGGGTTTAGCTTTATGTTTTCAGTTATGGCAAACTGAGTTGGTCTCTCGTGGGGGGAACAAGCCGGTGTGGTTGTTAGCACCACCACCTCACGACCTCCTGGTTTGAGCTATCTGGGACATGTTAGGTTGACTGAAGTCTCTTAATTATCTCTGGGTGTTGATGTCAGTGTGTGGCTGGTTGTCTCTGTGTGGTCCTGTAAGGGGCCTTAAGCTTTCCAGGGCGTACTCTGTCTCCTTCCCAACGTCAGCCCCCGCAACGACCCTACTAGGAATAAGCGGTACCGAAAATGGATGTAAGTTCTTGTTTTGGAGCTTGAATATGACCCAGTTAGTGTACTAAGCAGACTGTGTGCATGTACAGAGACAGACAGTGATCTACAGATGATCTAAACTAGCCCGGCAGCCAGTTTGGTGTGTAAGAGCTATAACATAGTACCAGGCCTGACAGCATAGCTCTTTGAAAACTGTAAAGAGCACCATTAGAGATTCTTCGAAAACTGAAATCTGATCAAATTTTTTTTCAGATAGTAACAAACAAACATGAGCAAATGCTCTTACCATCTCCATCAACCTTTTGGATGGGCTCAGAGGGCGCCGAGGCCTCGCTGGAGCCATGCATGTTGACTGAGTACACTCGGAACTGGTACTTTTGCCCATCTTGCAAATCAAAGACTGGGTACCGAGGTGAATGCAACTTTACCGCGGTGTTGATCCGCTGCCATGCCCCAGTGCCTGCTAAGCACTGTGGGAGAGTCAGGGAGGGGAAACGTAAAGGTACAGAAATCTCCGACAACCTGATTAAAGACAAAACTTCATTCAGAGAAGATCTGACTGAGCGGGTGGATCAGGAGTTAAACGCATCTGTAGAATTCTGTTGGGTAAAACAATCAGTACATTGTAGCCTCACAACCCTTCTGGGTTTCACTCAATACCAGTCTTACAAAAAACGATAGTAGACAGACAAAGTAAACGGTTCGGAGGCGATTGTGCTCATTCCTCCGAAACTGAACATTTAGGTGCGTAAAACGAGGGGAATGGATGGCGAAAGCTGAAGCCACACGCACCTTCTCGATGATGTACCACAGCGGAGCTCGTCCGCGGGGGCTGGGAGGCTTCCAGCTCAGCACCACATATGATTTGAAAATCTCAGATGCATGCACATCTGTGGGCTCGCCTGGTATAACAACGTAGCCTAGATTGGGAGTGAATGTTGTTGAGGTATGACGTCCACACAGCAGTGGTCATCACAGAGGTCCCACGTTAGGCACTTTGCTGTTCACAGCCCTAACCCTAACCCTAACCCTTCCACTGGGAACAAAGACACTGTTTAGGACTTTCAGTAATGTCTTTTGTGTCTGAATAATTCTGATTTTTTACATCTTCTCATGATCATGAGAGGCAGGCAGATTGAGAAATTCTGGCCCCAAAATATTTACATGATGATTAGCAAGTAAATATTTCTTGTTTAAATTTTGACTACTGGTATTCTGATTATGAGGTACTTGCTGTTAATGCTCCCTCATTGATTTTGCCATCTTATTAAGAATAAGAAATTCTAAACCCCTCTGAACATAAAATCTGAACCCTAACCCTGAACTGGGGTAGACACTGAATCCTGAGTGGGACTTCTACAATAACCACATCTCAATATTGTGTGTGTGTTATTTCAACACAAATGGGGTTATAAACTTGTGTTAATGGATCTGGTTTAACAGAAGGGTTTGGAATTCAAAGAATAGACCGCAAAAAGTTAGACTGAAGGAAATTAGAAAGTAGTTTTCATAAAGTTAAAAAGAGAAGCAAATTCATTATTCGGCTTGTGTAGTTAGAAGTTTTAGGATGGCAGTTCACATTGGCCTCGTCCTTTGGACAACAGATCCGTACTAAGTTGCTTTTTGGCAGTTTCACATATTTGTTTAGAGTAAAAAAAAGTCAAGCTATGGTGTAACAATGATGTTACAGAGCAAACCTTGGCTCCAAAATGCTTGTACTCACAAATGATGGGCTGAAATCATAATTAAAAGACTTAAACCATCTTGGACCAGAGTTCCTGTTTGGTCACTTATAGGAAAAACCTCTTCTTAAGTGACTGTCATTGGCCAGCGTTTCAAATTACAGAAAAAAATGGTGAAATAATTCGCAAGGCTATGCCAGACCCAAAAACCTACAACCAAGATTGTGGGTTTTTAAAGCTCATGGGTTTTTAAGCTGCTATTAAGTGACTGGAGGTCATTCTAAAACGTTTACTCTCCTCTAAAAATGTCCTTCTCTTTCTCTCTTCTTGTCATCATCACAGAACCCACCGGAAACATGCTAAATACTCACCATCTGCACACAGAAAAGGCCTACGCTTGCACTTTCTCCACGTATATAGATTGAATAAATGGGCTGAGTGGACATTGCCTGAACTACGCTAACATCTTATATCTTAGAAACCTGTACACAAATAGCGGACATGGAGGGGAATAGTTCTTCTTGGTGCGAGCCTGCTGCTGACAGCACACCTCCTGAGACAAATGCCTACAGTAGTCATCTTGACGGAACTTGACTTCAGACAGACTGTAGAGTTCTGTGTCCATCGACATCTTACAATGTAAGGAATCTAGAGTTACTCCATTGAGATTGAGCTGACGGTTAACGAAAGAGGGCACCGTGTTAGTGTTTTGGTGAGATGGTTTAGAGGTTGTGGAAAGCAAAACTCAGAATCAGGAGCAGTCTGTATACCACTGTACCTTCCAGGTCATCAGCCTTGATCACTATGTCATACTTTCCTTCTATTTTAATCACTGTTGTAGGAAAGGATGACAAACGACGCGTTAGGAAAGACCGGTGTCCAGCTCCCCTGTGGCTTCCATTTACCTTCCTCGGTACCTTGCAGTCTCTCGCTCTCTGCCGCATCGATGGCCATCACTTTGTCTGACTTGCGCGAGGGTCTGCTGATGCCCGCGCTGTTCACGGCTCTCACCCGGAAGTAGTAGGAATGGCCCACGCTGAGGCCGTGCACTGGGTATTTGCACACCTTCACCGGGGCATCGTTGCACTGGACCCAGGTGTCAGTACCAGCTTCACACCTGCACAGCAGAGAGGGACCCATCATGAGCAGGAAAAGTTTCACCTCACAAGCACACAGGTGGTTGTTTTGAACTAGTTACTGTAGTAAATGCTGAGTTAAAATCCCTTCACACGTTTCCTGAACTATTTCAAACAAACTTTGTCATCATTTTGAGTTGGTAGTGCTGCATTCTGTTTAATATAACGTGCTTTATATCAAACCCTAACCCTTACCCTAACCACAGCCTCAGTTTTGATGACATGTGCCCCACAAAAGGTTTACAACAAATACACAATAAAACCACACAGAAAGATTAAACTATTGTTGTCACTGTCATCTGTGGGACTGAACACACATATCCATATATATTCACATGGAATCAGTGTCTCTTCGCTCTCTACATAAAACATACTTTTAATAGATTTCCTGATTAAACGTGGTGTTGTTGATCCATTTTATATTATATTTCCATCCTTTTGCTCAGCTCCTGTTTGGCCATTTCACAATGAATATCTTGTATTACTTGTTTGCTTTGTTACTGTAAAAATAAAATCAATTCTACGGTTAGCTAAAAAAAAAGGGTCCAAATATCCGTATCTTCAGATCCCGTTCAGTCACACTCTGAGCTTCAGAGTTATTCCACTGTATGTCAGGGTGCCAGCAAGGGTGTATTTCAAGAGATCCTGAGGAGTCTCACCGATCCACAAAGTATCCTGTGATCGGAGCCTCGTTGACGGTGTTGGGGGGTTTCCAGGCAACCAGGACGTAATCCGAGTTGATGTCATAGGCCTTGACACTCATGGGTGCGCCGGGGGCTCCTGCAGTAGAGGGGGCAGCATCTGGGGATGACAGATATGATCAGGCGTTTGAAGGGGCCCCCTGTCAAACACAGAAAATCTCACCTGTTATGGACGAGTTTCGAGAAACCGTTCTAACTACGCAGTGTAGTGACGTTCAAATGTGCCAGTTTGTTGACATGAGTCTCTAAACTTTAGCTCAGTGACGAACAAGTTGACCAGCGGGTTCAGGAAACCTTGCGCTAGGGGGTAGAATGCTACACGAGGCAGAGTAGAGTCACCTGAGACGAACAGGTAGGCGCTGTGCTCGGCCGTGCCGTCCTTGGTGAAGATCCGCAGAGTGTAGAGGCCCTCGTCGTCCTTGGCCAGATGAGGCAGAGTCAGGCTCGCTGAACTCCCGCACACAGACATCTCTGCCAGATGACTCGGTTTCAGTAGTTTATCTTTTAGAGACAGAAAGAACGAGAAAGTCACCAAATGGAGTCAGTGGAGTCGGAGACAATCTGATGGACTCTAGACGCTGGCAGATCTTTGATCAGGGAGGTTCACGCAGTCCCGCCCCCTCAGATGAATGAATGAAAGGGTGTCTAACCATCTCTGTACCACTGGGCGAGGGGTGGCACGTTGGGGAGGTTGGGGACGACGACCATCGTCGACACCAGTCGGATGGATCCTCCCTCCACACCAAAAGACACCTGAAACCTATCGAGCAAGGTGACCTCCAGCTTACTGGGATGGATCTCAGTCAGATGGGGCACTGGAAAGCAGGGACACCAGAAGTCATCACCATACACAATGCTAACACACTTCTGTCTGGTACAGGGTGTCCTACAGGCCCAAACACCACATGTTCTAATGACTCTAATGGGACACATTTAATCTTCTGCTCCGTAGTACTGTCCTCATAAGTCGGTTTGATACAGCCACTCACTTTCTTATCAACAACGTGACTTCACAGTAGGAACATAGGTTTGATTTTAATGTCCATTGTTTCATCAAAAAGGTTTGACAATTCAGACATTTTACAAAAGAAGTGAACAGTTTGTCCAGTTTTTAAAAAAAATTCAACTTATAGTGAATCTAAAGTGGCTTTTTTCCTCCAAAGGAACTGAGCCTAGCTCTTTCTTTGGTCCAAATCAGCTGACGATGAGAGAGCAAGTAGTTGCTTAGTGTTATTATTTAATCCTTCAAAATTGCCCAAATGTTTTTACCCATAAAGTGTTTCCCAGGGACAGTTTTCTTTTGCTTTATCCATGCATACTATACACGAGCTGTCCACAGTACTTTCCACAGCTCATCGAGCCTCTGACTATGTTACTGCTCGGAGCCAAATGACTCCTATGGATTTATGAGTTGTGTTCAGGACTCCCACCTCCATCATCTGAGTCACGGCCCTTACAGGATGCTCTTACCTAGACCGAGCTGACAGGATTCTGCGCCTCCTGCTGGTCCTGTGAGGAAAACAAGTTCATTGTTCTACAAAACAACGACCACCTCAGAGAATGTCCTCATAGAACCGACCGGGACACCGTACTTACTCTTCACGGTAACTGTGGCCTTGCTGGTAGCTGTGCCGTACTGGTTGGTCGCCACCGCACTGTACTCTGCAGTGTCACTCACAACACACCTACACGAGGAACAAACCTCCCTTTAGATAACAGCAAGATGACTCAGCTTGAATTTTTGTGCTTATTTAAAATTTCATTTAGACATAACAAAACTAAATAAATGAGTTTTGTTATTTTCCAAGCAAATCATTTTAAAAGCAATTCCCTATTCGGTCCGGAGCATATCGGCCATTAACACATCTCAACACAACATTCAATGTCACATTGTATGTAGAAGCCATAGTTTGAGCTGGATGATGTCCTTGTTTTACAATGGTTTGTACTAATTTGGGATTCAGCCTTCTCTCAGTTTATAAGTCCCACAAATTTTTGTTTCCTTTGTTACTATTAATAAACCAACTTGTGGCACGAAGCAGAACCCAACCCGACATAAATCATAGGTAGTTATGCCTGTTATGTTCTCACAGGAAGCATGTAGTTTTTTAAGAAAACGGTCAGTAGCAAACAGATAATGTCTGAAAATGAACCAAACAGCGGGCGTACTCTGAAAAGAGACGGTACTGAGGCACAAAGACTGAGGAGGGGTCTGAGGGCGAGAAAAGAAAAAAGAAATGTGACCTTCACCTCATCAGAACTATTTTAAGACGATCCCTATCTCAGTCATGGGCACATAAGTCTGTCCACCTCCTAACAAAATCTTCTCTAAATCTTTTAAGACTAACGACCAGTAAATCTATCATTTCAAGAGACTCCTTTATCAAACTGGTCCCAATAAGAAAAGAGATTTGCTTTTAACTCTGGAAAGAGACACAGGAAAGCAGAGAGGGAAGAATGAGAGGAGTGAGGGAGAGAGACAGGGAGAGACAGCAGGCGGTGGGAGGAATTCATAGCTCGAATGACGCAAAGGTCAGCACTTCCACATGAACAGCTGAGAGGTCTTCAAGATGACGAAAAGAGGCAGCCTGGGCTGCGGCCATGAAGCCAGGATGTCCAGCGTCCCTCCCCCTGACAGCTGAATAAAAGTCAGGGTATATGCTGGAGCGTTGCAGACTAGCAGACTGCATTTAAACTCGAATATGTATCTCTAGTCCTTTAGGAATAAACGAGTTCAACTCGATGCTATGTTGAAGGATATCGGAAAAAATTTGCACAATGGTGAAAAAACCCACCAGCCTTTTTCTTCAACCTTCACTCATGTTTTCATCAAAGCCTTTCTGGGATTATTAAAGTATTTCTGATTCTGATTCTGATTCTGAATAAAAGTGCCCTGCATAGGTCTGAAATTGGCCCAGTCCCTCCTCACACTAGAGGCCTACAGAGGTTTGGAGCTCTTCAAAACCCTCAATGGGCATTCAAGTGAGAACTCATTTTTCTTTTGAATCATATTCAATCACAAACCTTTTTTTCCAGCAATGATGAAAATAATGAAAACCAATCAAAAGGCTTTGTGAAGCGCGGCACTTTCACTCCTGCACTACGATCCCACCGCTAACCTTCTATTGTCAGGTGTTTGCTCTTTCATTTCAGCGCCAGTGAAAAAACAGATACACCGTATCCTCAAATAGTGCTACTGCCTCCTCTTTTATACACAATCCCATCACACGTACTTTGAAGAAAATTGGGTGGTAAAATTGTCGGGAAAATTGTCACAATTTTTGGACTGAACAGACGAATAAATGTCCAAAAACAGAGTACGATAATGAACTCTGTCTCGAACATCTAGTAACAACGTGGGTAATGGTGTATGTCATGGTGTACTCTGATGCTGTGAAACTAGAAGAACAAGTCAGTTTAAATGTGCAACATCAAGCATTATAAGATATTCAGAAATAGAAATATTGATTTCTGCCAAAGCATCCATACCCGTACTTCCTTTCCAAGAATGATGTGAGAGCTACCTCTATAAAGCTATTCCGAAGGCATGTAAAGACTTAATTTACGATTGCCACACACACCGATGAAGCTGTCTTTCTTGGCAGACTTTTTCATTTACCAGCTTTAGTCATCAGGGAGAATCAAAAATATAGCAAGGTCGAATTTGATTGTGTGCATGTCAGGCTTTCTCACTGGCTCGGATTCCTTGTTTGCCTTGTGATAACGCCTTTATGTATATTTCAAACCCAATGTCACACACAGAAAGACTCAAAGGGCTTTAGCTTACCTGCTAATGGTCAAACTGTGGACTCCATACTTGCTTTCAATCTTGTACTTTCCTGGAGCACTCAGTGGGTCGACCGGCACTCCTCCTTTATACCTGCAAAGATCCAAAAACAGCATTCAGGGATGTCTTCTTATATTCTTAAAGTATGGCAAACAGCTGTTTGTCCCTTCCACAACTCTGGGCATTCAAATAATCTACTCCTGTGAGACGTTCTTACCATTTGACAATGGGCCTTGGGTTGCCCTCCACAGTGGTAAAAAGCTTGACTGGGGTCTTCTCCCACACAGTGTGGGGACGCAGGGCCACCAGAAAGTCGGGCATCTTGGGAACGTCATCCAACACATCCACCTTTCTTGCCATTAACTCCCTCACCTGGGGGGTATGAAGTCTATCAGACACAGCAGCCACAGGACAAGCGCAGGCTTTTCTGCATCTCCTGTGAGTTGTAATCTCGTTTCCTCTCCATGTGTCAGATGAAGGGTATAAGTCATCTTTCATTCTACATAGAAATATACTCTGCTACTAAATTTCGTGTTTTTACAAGCTGTGTATACACGTATAATCTGCTGATGACCTTTAAGCTCCTCACCTCTTTTTTGATATTCATGGTCTCTACTTGGGCCTTGGTGGCCACCCTCATCCTGTGGAGCTCCTCCTGAATCACAGCCAGTCCTTTCCCAACATTTGTGCTCACTCTCTGGTACTCCTCCGTCTCCTCAGCAGACCTAAAAAACACACAAATCCAATGACTCACCCTTACTGCACAGCAGTACTGGAAATAGCAGTTCGTCATTCGACATTTAACAGTTAAAGCATCTCTGAAAACATGAAACTTCTGTTGCTGAACTACCAACTCAAACCGGAACTGTTGTTGTATATTAAGATGACAGTAAAACCTCCCAGAGACTCAGAAATATCCAACAGACAACAACTGTGGAAGGTGAGTCTTATGAGAGCACCCAGTGGGAACCCACCTCTGCCGGAAAGCTGGTATGGTATAGGCTGGTTCTGCCATAGCCTCTGTGGCCTGGGCCTGCACCTGGCTCACCGATTTAGAGCTTGATTTCCTGTTGGGGAACAGAGTCCGTCAGGATGAAACAGTCAAAGGATTATGCTACAAATAGATTTTCAAGTTGTGGTATTATCGATGCAATTGCTTCGCAGATATTTCGGCAAAAATTTTAAACAAAACAAAAAAAAAAGCAATTTAACACATCGCTCAATCATTTCCTACTAAACGTATACACCCAAAAAAACATCACATTTTACTAAGTGCTCGAAAAAAAACAGCATGGAGCGCAACTTTATTGTGCAAAGCTGATGGTGGTTAGTGGCATTACCATTCTAACTAAAACAAGTAAAAAATATCCAGGCCTTCGTATCTTTCCCGTCCAGCGTCCGGGTAAATCTCTGCCGGTACTGGTTTCTGGATCCGACCCCGGCCTCAGATGTAGGTCAGATGCAGTGGTCAGGCACGTGCCTTTTGACACGAGGCAGCTGCCACATGACAGCATGGAAGTTTTGTACAAGACGACTTTGTGTCTGGGACTTTAAACAATACAAGCCGGAACGTAATTAGGTTCATTTTCTGCCATCTATTCATTGACGGTATTGCTTCCGACTCGAATGCCACATTAAGATGTTTGCAGCGAGAATAGCGTGCCACAGAAAGGCAGAAAATACGCTCATGTCTGGAATCGACCTGAATGGAAACAGGTGAGGAATCTGCAGGTGGTCAGGAGAGGCCCTTTTCTAAGTCGTACTGCACAGTCCGAACCTTTTGAGCGACAGCAGCTCGGGTTCACCGGTGAACACTGAGTGTCAACATCCGGGCAGGTGAACGATGGCATGGGTTGTGAGGGGCTCGCACTGATTTCTCCACATTTGACTTCGAGGTCCAACACAGTAGCGTTACACATGGGGACAAGTCTGCTATGTCAGGTCAAATATTCATTGTTTAACAAACTTTAAGTGGATTTTTTAACCTTCAGATGTTCATCCCTTTCAATGTAATGAAAATGGTTGTGTCACGCCTGGGGGATTTTGTGGTGTTTTGTCCTGTTTCCATGGTTGTCATGTCATTTCCTGTTTTATTTTAAAAGGTACATCCCCTTGTTTCAGGTCTCTTGCACTCCCCTGTGTGTCACATGTCTGCTTGTCTTCCCTGATTGTGTTCACCTGGAGTTCCCTTTCCTTGTGATTAAATGGTCTGAGTCTCTCCTTGTCTGGTTTCAGTGGGTTTCGTCCTTCGTCTTCGTCCCACGTCATACTGAGCAACCCAAGTCAAAGTAATCCTTTCCTTTCGCCTTGAACCCCGTTTATGCCTCGTAAGAGTGATTTTGATTCGTACTTTGTAACTTTTTTTAATTTTTTCGGAGTAAGTTTATTTTATACTTTGTTCATAGCTTTGTCGTCCTTGTTTTCTAGAGTGATTATCATTTTGGTACTTTGTCTTTTCCTTGTCCTCCACTCCTTGCGAGTGCGCTTTTGGTTCTATTAAAACCTTTTTGCCAAAGATCTCTGCGCCTCAGTCCTGCCTAGAGTTCCCGTTCCTGACAGTTTGGCTATCATGAAAACATAAAGCAGCGAATATTAGTCAAGCCGTATGCGCTCTATTTTTATTTCTAAAGTAAAAAAAACAAACATTCAAGTACACTTTAACCCGGCCTCCTGAATCGGTTTTAACCTGAACCGGAAAGGAGATAAGCGCGCCAGTCAGCGGACACCGGCCAGCCTGCGGTCATTCTTAGCTTTGGCCTCTTAGCAATGAGGCGATTTGTTCAGGAAATGTTTAAGCTCTGATGCCGGAGGACGAATGGACGGCAAGCTAGGAAGCAGACTAATGTGCGACAGCAATGTGGACCCAAAGAGTCCCAAAAAAAGGCTCTACAGGTCAGCTCTGCCTGGCAAAGCGGGGGCAGCTCAGCAGGTACATTTCCCCCCCATCATACCTTTCCGTCTGCTGCTTGACAACATGTTTAGTGTGACGGTAAGCATAGTCAGTTTTCACTTGGCTCACATGCTTCTTCTTATACCAAGGTATGACTTTGGAAGCCATGACTGGAACACTTCAAGGAGACCTGGCTGAGAGCACCGGGGAAAGGGGGTAGGGGGGACCAAATGTGTGTTAATCACGTAAATAATTCCAATACAGGACTTTCCTCGGCCACTATGCTGCTTATATTTATCAGGTGATCAGTATATGGAGAGGGAATAACTGCATTATCCCACGTTGCTCTCTACAAGAATCGCTTTGGAGTTCTGCCTAAATCACCGAAACCCTACAGTTTTGACTCATTTCGAAGACATTCGGAAGAAGAACTTGGAGCTTAGAGCTCACCACTTTAAAAGCTAACACAGCCCAGCTATGAATAGCCTGCAGCAGTCGGCAGACTCCGTGATCGGAGAGGTTGAAACTCATACTGGAGGAGCAATCGTCGTTTTTATTAAACTAGAATGCATTAAAATGCAGATGAAATCGGACTGCACGGGCCCATCCAAACTGAGAAAGCTGTCGGGTCAACGTTCTTCCCGAGTTCTGCCCAATTCCACCTCCGGTTCGTGCAAGGAATTATTTCATCACCTGAGTCTTTTACAGGTGACGCGAAAATCCATTCGGCAACCAGTTTTTATTGTGTTACAAACGGATGTTCTTCACACGCGCGTTACACACTGCTGCTGACCACTGTCCTCCCACACACCAGCCTTTTCAGAAGCATTCTTTCAAACCACCAACGCGTTTCACCTGTCCTAGGCCTAACCCCCAATCACCTCTCTCCCTGCTCTACACGTCCCGTGTAAGAAGTAACACCCAATAAAAAATGAGCCGGACCAGCAAATATTAACAAAAGTTACTTACCCCAAAGAGATTAAAACAGCACAAAGCAGTGGCAGACCAGCCTGATGCCGCTTGGGAAGCACTTGCTGAGGGTAACAAAAATATTACCCTCTCACCAAAGGAATGCCGTTCCCCTTCCACCCCATGTATGGACGCACTTAAGACTATATATAGCATTTACCCCCAAATTTCCTTTTCATTCTGCACTTTGGAGATGAGGAGCATGCATCCGTACCTGCAAATGTAATGATTTATGTGGAGGTATGTTTAATCTGGTGCCTTTAACGTATTTTAAGACTTTTAGAATCGACAGAGAAAAAGACAGAACAAAAAGCATTGAAAATAGAAGTGGAAAAACAAAAAATAATTAGAAAACAGATGGTGAACAAGTCGCAATACTACTGCTTGAATGCATACTATATACTACTAAACATCAAAATTTACATTAAAATGCCATATTTTTCTAATGACTGGCACAAGGTTTCTCTTTTCCTAGAAAAAATATTAAAAGACATTTTTCTTTTATAACTCCAAACCACAAATAATTGTAGCTGTTAGGAACAAGTTTTTTAAGAGGAGTCTCTGGCAGATTCACACACTTGGAGCCTAATGCGACCTTTTTAGGTTTCTTGAGACGGCCTGTCCTCCTTGGATGAGCACTTGCGAGCTGAAGTCAAGTTATTTTTAACAGCAAGTCCGCTGTTATAGTGATACCCCCCCTTCTTACTGTACAGGAGCCTCTGCTGCTATTTTCGCTCACACAAGCTAATTTAAAAGAAGGTACATTGAGAACTTGAAGGAGAGTCAGTCATAAACCGTGAAACACATGCGCTTTGTTGCAGACTCGTGCTTTATTGGCCAGGTGGTGCTAGGCAGACATCTTGAGTCACTGTAAACTAGAAATCTCTGGCTAAAGTGGCCACATTTTGAATGTCGGCAAATGATTAAGTGATACACAGAAACCTGTTTTGTAAAAAAAAAATGAATTCAAACCATTTTTTTCACTAAAGAAGAGTGACCTCGGACAGGGAAGGTACACCACACCTCTCTAGGAGATGATTTCCCCTCCAGTAGCGAATTAAAACGACACACAGAAGTGACTTGACACTCAGTTCTACCGGAAAAAAGCTTTTTTCTTTGTGTTCAGACTGAGAAAAAGCAAGTTTATTAGCCCTCAACTTTGTAAGTATCAGTAGCTGAGTAATATTGCAATTCAGAAGTATTCAATATTCTATATGCTAGCAGATCAATAAAGGTGGACAATGGATGGATGGATGGATGGATGGATGGATGGATGGATGGATGGATG